AGTTTTTAAAACGCGTCTACTAGGGAGAGGTTTTCACACCCTTATAAAGAATGTTTCGTCCCTCTCTCCTCTCTCCAACCGATGTGGGATCTCACAAGTACATAAGATAAGTTAAATTTTACACAGAAGACAGCTTACACTTAACTCCAGCATTTTTTATTTAGCTGAAAATTTCGAAGCATTTGTCCACTTCCACTTATCTTCGTGTTTATTTACATAGGGGTAGGAGCGCACATTTGATTTGATTTCGTTGAGAGTTGCCACAACAACACTTAAAGAACCACAGAAAAATTTTCTCTTTCATTTTATTACTGCCATTTATCATCTGATAACAGAATACTGTAAGAAGCAAGAAGAAAACAGATAAACTAATACCTCAAGAGCGTGCTTATACCGCTGAAGCCTTCTGAGTTCTTTGGAGATGTTCCGAAGCTCAGTGATCGTAACTTGATTGCCCTCACTCGTCCATCTCTGAATAACGTTGATAGCACTTCGCTTGGGAAGTCTGAGCCGAAATATTCTGCTCTTCAAGTCATTGGTTTCTTCAGAATTCACTGATTCATCAAGCGATTCACTCCTCAGTGCTCCATGAGAGCAATAGTTCGAAACACTGGCTTCATTGAAGACCGGGATCGCTTTGAAACTTTGATTTAAGAAGCCTCTATTCCTGAATTTTCTAGGGTTCAGATCGATTTACACAAATCCTCAAATAACGAAGAAAGAACGAAATTGCATTGAAATTAAGAACAGCCATACTTACCGATTTAAGGAGAGGAAGAGAGAGCGAGAAGCCATGGAAATGGATCCTTCACTTGGTGACCCGATCTCCGTTTAGCTGATTATCGAATCTGCCACGAGTTTGTAGGCTTTTGAACACTTGGGAGGCAATAGTCGTAGAGAGTTATTAAATTATGTATTCTTAAGAAATAGCTCTAACACGTGTCTTTTAGGAAAAGATTTTCATACTCTTACAAGGAATACTTTATTTTCTTCTCCATCGGATATGAGCTTTCACACTTAGAGTGCCCGTTAAAGTCTCCCACGTAAATTCTAGGATGATCATTACCCCTTAGACGAGGAATCCATAACATCAAACCGTGAATCAAAAAGTGTGACGAGAACTTGCTTTCTACAATAACAAAACAGCAATCTACCAGCGACATTTTCTTTTTGTAAGAATGTCATAGGACTCTAGATCTTGTACCATTCCATATAGTCATATGAATCTACCATAAATCTCGGCTCCTCATTGTTGGATCCAATGAGACCTCAATAGAAGAAAAGTTATATCGTGAGGGAATGGTAAAAAGAAACTCATCGATTAGTGAAATAAAACATGAAATCGTAAGCTTTGAAGCAAGGGGAGGAAACACTACTCCTCACTTCGCAGACGTTCACACTCACAAGAATTGGAACTGTAAATATTGGATCGGCTTTCGAGTCCACGTCCCTTGTTTATATAGGTTGGGTGATTCTAGAGGCTCGTTCGTAAAAACTGTTATACCATACCAAATTGACTCTAATGCATGCCTATTTGAAGAATGAGTCACTGTGTTGTATAAAGTATGTATGTAAGCCAAATAAAGAATACAATATTTTAGCACACTCTAGGTAACTCTAAGTTTGGTGGACCAAATTTGTGAGATCCCACGTCAATTGATAGGGAGAAAGACATCGATTGAATACGCTGATCCCGAGGTGAATTGTGAGATCCTACGTCGGTAGAAGAAGGAGGAAACTCAAAAAAATCATACTCATTTAAAAACTTTTGAGGGGAAACTCGAAAAAATGAAGCATAAAGAGGACAATATCTACCGTAACAATTTAATCTCTAACTTTTAGTTATGAAATGAATTAATCGTTTTGTCTTATAAACACATTAGTGATTAAGTTATCTTCAAAACCGCTCTCAGATATGATTTTGATTCATTCATGCGGTAACTGAATATGAACTTTACTATCAACACAATTTTATTAGCCACTTTGTGGAGAAAGACAAGGCATTATAATCATCATCATGGATAAACAAACATTTGATATCATCCTAAAATTATTGGAAAATTTCTTGAGTTCATACCCAGATTTCCTCACTCTCTCACTCACTCACCCACTCACCAAACAACAGATATCATCTTAGTTAAGTTCTTCTTAATGTTCATGATATTCATGTAATCTGGGCAGCCATTTTCACAAACTTCACAATAAACATTATGAACTTAGAGACCTCTCAGCTTTCCAAGAGTTCCCATGGACATCCCCATCTTCAGAGACGCCTCACAAAAATGGATATCAACTATGATTGGAGCTTCTCATCAGAAACCCCCCACTGCAAGAAACTGACCTGTTCATACTCCCCTCTGATTTCTCCGAGCAATTCCCATTTCTCTGCTCCGATTCACCTTCCCAATCCATTTTTTCATTAACAACAGCAAGAACAGAGCTGATTCGAAGAGCAGAGGGCAAATCTAAAGACACGGATCTTCTCATCGCCTGATTGTCACTTTCTAAATGGATTTCATCCTGTTCTTCGTTTCTCATGGAACTTTCCCCTGAATTGGCGCCGTTTTCTTCTTCCTCCTGTAAATTCGCCATCTGGGTTTCGGCCGGAGGTGGTGTCGGTGTCGGTGGCGCGGAGTGAGCTACGACGGGAGAGCGGCACATGGGGCAATTGGTGTGGGATCGAAGCCAAGTATCGATACAGGGGAGATGAAAAGCGTGGCTACATTTTGGCAAGAGCCTTAAAGTTTCATCCTCTTCGAATTCGCTTAAACAAACAGAGCACTCTGTTCCGTCGATCAAACCCTCGCCGGATTTGAATTTGCAGACGGCGATGGCGTCGATAACAGCCGGCGGGAGGCCGATGGTACGGATATACCAAATGGGGTGATCCAAAACAGGGCTGTGGTGGTGGTGGTGATGGGTTGGGGGCGGTGGGGAATCGAGGCGGCGGATCTGTCTACGGCGGGCGGAGTAGAAACGAGCGTAGACGGCGTAGCAGAGGACGAGGAGGAAGGTAAAAGAGAGGAGAGCGATGGTTAAGGTAACCAAATTGGAGAGTTTATGCGGTGATTTGGCGGCGGAGGAGGGATTGAAATTGTCAAAATCGGGCGGCGGGATTGAAATAGAGATGTAAGAACAGAGTGTAGGGCATTTTTCGAGGCAATCGGAGAAGCAGGAATCGGAAGGGTGATCGAAGCAGTCTTCAGGGCAGAATTTGTTGAGGTCGTCGTCGGAGTCGTCGGAGAGAAGCTTTCTGGAAGAGAGGAAATCCATGGCGGATTTGAAGAACAAAGGAGGTGGAGATTGAGAAGGCGGCGGCGGTCGATGGAGAGGAGTGGTTCATGAAAGTAGGTCACCGAAAGCTTTGAATGTCTGGATTGGATGTTTGTTTGTTATGAATGTTGACTTTTTTTTGGCGGTGGCAATGGATTGAATCAAGGTTTCTCTCTACTAATCTATTATTTGTCACCGGCCATGAAATAGGAACCAAGAACATCACTACCATTCTCGATACCGTGTTCACATTTTAGAGGAACACGATGAACAAGACTCTCTATAATGATATGATATTGTCCATTTTGAGTAGCTTTGTTTTGAGGTTCCATAAAAGGTCTTGTAACAATGGAAATAGTATTTTTCTATTATAAACTCATGATCATTTCCTAAATTAGCGGAGGTGAAACTTTCCTCCAACATAATCTGGAATTCTTATAAGCCAAATCTTTTTAATAGATCATTGTGGATAATTAACCCGTTTCAAAAACTATATCAACTCTTTGAAAAACTTCACTCCACTCATGGTAGTTGGCACCTAGTCAACAAAACCTACCCACACCGGTCCAAATGGGTTCGTCTAAGGATGTATATCATAAATATTATGCAATCAACTCACTACTGGTGCATAAGTGAGTTTCGTGTGTGTTTGTTCGGTGATACATAAGTGGGTTTCGTGTGTGCGCATGTGAATTCAATTATTCTTTATATTTTAACGTTTTTCAGTTAAGAATTAGGTTAATTAAGAGAGAAAACAATCTAGATTTCTATTAATATCGAGAATATATTTGAGATCTCAAATTGATTGGAGAGGGAAACGGAGCATTATTATAAATGTGTAGAAACCTCTTTCTAGAAGACGAGTTTTAAAACCATGAGGCTAACAGTAATACATAAGAGGCAAAAATGGACAATATCTGCTAGTGATGGACTCGGAATGTTACAAATGATATGAGAGTCAAGCACCAAACGGTGCGTCAACGAGGATGTTGACCCCTCAAAGGGTGGATTGTTAGATCCCACAGCAGTTGGAGAAGGAAATGAAGGTATCAGAGCCCGACACCAAACGGTGTGTCAACAAGGACTCTGGCCCCTAAGGGGGTGGATTGTTAGATCTCACAGCAGTCGGAGAAGGGAATGAAGGTGTCAGAGCTCGGCACTAAACAGTGTGCCAGCGAGGATGCTAGACCCTAAGGGGGTGGATTGTTAGATCCCACAGCGGTCGGAGAAGGGAATGAAGGTATCAAAGCCCGGCACCAAGCAGTGTGTCAGTGAGGATGCTTGCCCCCAAGGGGGTGGACTATTAGAGCCCACAACGATTGAAGAAGGGAATGAAGGTATCAGAGCCTGACACCAAGCACTGTGTTAGCGAGGATGCTGGTCTTAAGGGGAGTGGATTGTTAGATCCTACATCGGTTGGAGAAGGAAACAAAATATTCTTTAGAAGAGTGTGAAAACCTCTCTCTACTTGACTGAAATCTTACATCGGTTGGAGAAGGGAACAAAGTATTCTTTATAAGAGTGAGAAAATCTTTCTCTAGTAAACGGGTTTTAAATCATGAGGTTGACACGACATGTAACAGGCCAAAACAGATAAGGAATGAACACAAATTTAAAGCTACATAAAGAAATCCACACTTAAAAGCTAATATTAGCAATACATTTGAACTTGGAAGTAACCCCAAAAGAGAAACTACAAGGGCCACAAGGCAATCAAATTAAGGCTTCTAAGCAACAACAATCCATCCTCTGCCGTTTCATCATCTTCAAATCCTCTGACCCTTTACTTTCTTGTGTTCATCCGCCGTGTCGTCTTTGGAGATTCTCACCGGATAGGCCGCCGCCCGCCGTCCGTCATGTCGTCCAACTCTGGTCATTTCTGGAGCTTCACAATCCTCAGATTCCGAAGCTTGCTTCTTCAACTTTCTCATAAGATAAACACCTCCGCCCCCGCCGGTGGGTGCCGTCGTCGTCCGGTATCGGAGCCGCCGCAGAGCTCCTCCGTTGCCGTGGTTCCGTACAGCTTCCGTTCCTTTGGTCTGTCGTCCCTCCTCAGATCTTATTGTCCCAGGTTCGTTACTTCCGTTTAATGTGTGGTTCTGTGGTAAATTAATAAAAATAGTTTAAATAATACTTTTAATAAATGAAAATCCTTCCGAAAATTGATATTCAAAGCTTTATAATATTTTTTAAATACTTTTACAGAAAAATATTTAATATTAATATATTAAACTTTTACAAAATATATATATATATATATATATATATATATATATAATTATATAATTAATATTTATAAAATTTGAAATTATTGAAACTATTATAAATTGGAGTTATTTATTTATTTATTTATTATTTTGGATTGAATGAATTTAGGGCAAAATGGATATTTGGGTCCCTATTGTCTCTCTTTGTACCTAGTTGGAATAAATGGCAAGCTCTTGAAGGTATATATTTCATTTATTTCTTAAATTATTCTTTATAAATAATTTTACACCCTAACATATAATAATCCAAAATTATATTTTTAAGGTTAAATTAATTTTTAAAAATACCATTAAATTTTTATATTTGGTTTAAAAAACCAACTTTTAATTAATTAAAGGTTCTTATGAAACATCCCATTTTAAAAGTTTTAAAAATTTTATATCAAACGCGCTTTTTCGAAGAATCCTGCACCCATGGGCATACGGCCTGGCAGGCCTTCCCTTTCCGCCGGAGCTTCATGGGCGTTGCCCTGTTCCCCAATCAGATGTTTGGATGTGAGCTATACTCCGCGAGGAGCCAAACGGGCGTATGGCCTTGCCATTTGACCTCTCTTCCCGTGTGACTAGGAATGGTATGATATGGTCCACATAAGTGGACATGACTTTGCTTTGGAAGGCCTCATACCAATAAGTTAGTATTCCTCACTTATAAACCCATGATCATTTCCTAAATTAGCCGATGTGGGAATGGAGTTAATATTCCTCACTTATAAACTCAAGATCATTCCAACCCATAATCATTCCTCACTTATAAACTCAAGATCATTCCAACCCATAATCATTCTCTAAATTAACCAATGTGGGAATGGAGCTAGTATTAGCCGATGTGAGAATGGAGTTAATATTCCTCACTTATAAACCCATGATCATTCCCTAAATTAGCGAACTTTCATCATCCAACAAAATGAATTGTGATAGCTACGAAATGCCCTGCATACTATAAATTGATGTGTTATTGATCCTGAATGGTTAGACGAAGCGGAAAAAGGGATCGAAGAGGCGGAGCATGTAGCAGAAGTAGTAGAAAAGGTAGCAGAATTAACAGAGAAGGTATCAGCAGAAATTGGGGAGAAGCTTCCTGAGAAGAGTAGGATGAAAGATGCAGCTGAAGCTGTAGAGAAGTATTCCAAGGAAATTGCCCACGATGCTCTCCTTGCACAACACATCCTTCACAAGGTTTCATATTTATTAATTACCAGCTATGATATGATATTAAAAACTTCGATATTGTCCACTCTAATCATAAGCTCTTCGGAGGCCTCATATATCAATGAAGAGACCTCGTACCAATGACCTTGGGTAATGGAGAAACCGAATACTAATTGTCCCAAAAGGCTTTCAAGCCTCATACCAATGAAGAGAGTACCTCTCATGGCTTTTTCAGACCTCATACCAATGGAGAGAGTACCTCTCATGGCTTCTTCCGGCCTCATACCAATGGAGAGAGAACCTCTCATGGCTTCTTCAGGCCTCATACCCATGGAGAGAGTACCTCTCATGGCTTCTTGCGGCCTCATACCCATGGAGAGAGTACCTCTCATGGCTTCTTGCGGCCTCATACCCATGGAGAGAGTACCTCTCATGGCTTCTTCCAGCCTCATACCAATGGAGAGAGTACCTCTCATGACTTCTTCAAACCTCATCCCAATGGAGAGAGTACCTATCCCAATGGGAAGAGTACCTCTCATGGCTTCTTCGATAGTATTCTTTAATAGACTCATGATCATTCCTTATATTGGCTACTTCCAGCCTAAGTTCTCATGACTATGTTTGAGTTTTCTCAAAATTGTTCTCAGGACTGATTTGGGTTTTCTCAAAACACCCTCGTACCAACGAGAGTATTCCTAGATTATAAACTCATAATCATTCCTTAAATCGGTCGAGGCGTGACTTTCATCCAACATCTCCTCATGTTGGATGATGAGTCCCACGTCGGTTAATTTAGGAGGGAATAATCATGGAGGCTTTGTGGGAAAGCCCAAAAACAAAACCATGAAAGCTTAGCTTATGCTCAAAGTGGACAATATCATACCATTGTAGAAAGTTGTCTCGTCCACTGGTATGATAAACTCACAATAACAGCTAAAAAATCACACCGTATCAAATAATCGTTTAAAAAAAAACTAAAAAATTATTATTAAATATTATTAATTTCTTTCAATATTTGATTGTAGGTGGAAGAATGGAAGCAAAAGCTAGACAAATCAGAGGCAGATATTAATGAACAGATGAAAAAGATAGTAAATAAGTGAAAATATTATTAATCAATTCTATTTCAATTAGTTCTTATAATTATGTAATTAATTTTTAGTAATTTCAATACTATAAAAAATAAAAATAAAAATGTTAATATAAATTTAAAAAAAAATACTTTATTTCCAACACTAGACTGAAATTCTAAAATTCAGAACTGATCTTATAATCATAATCACAACAAAAATAAAATAATATAAATTTAATTGAAAAAAAAAAAAACAAATTAAACCAAAAATCTAAAACAAAGCAGCAGCTAAAATCCCAACACCAACAGCCATAGATCCAGCAAATCCTGTACCAATAATACCGGCGCCGCTTTCCGCCGGTGCTGGCGCTGAAACAGGGGACTGCGCAGGGGCCGAAGGAGATTCAGAAAGAATCGGGGACGGCGCCGGCGCCGGCGACTTCGAGTGGGTGTGGTGGTGCCCCGCCATAGCCGGAGAAGCTACCAAGGCAACGAGCAGAAGAACAACAAGGAAGCTTCTGGAGGCCATCGGAAACAGAGCGAAACAGAGCAAAGCAGAGGAAAACAGAGCAAAACAGAGCAAAACAGAGCAAAACAGAGGAGCTTGGTTGAATATTGCTGTAATGGGTTTGGTTTGGTGAAGAGGAGGAGGGGAAGGGGGGGGATTTATAAGGGGGGGTGGGAGAGATTAGGCCGTTGGATTTGATCGGAATTTGGGGCGGAAGAGATCTCGAGGGGGAGGATTGGACGGTGGGGATTGAGTGAATTGGGAGTTTTTTTGAGGGTTTTTAGCGTGGGGAGTTGTAACGGTCGAGTGATCGACGGCTATGGTTCAGTAGCCGTTGGATGAGAATGGCTGTCTTGGTAAATGAAGCCAATAATGCAATCTGTCACAGATTCTTTTCTGTTTTTAGAAAAATGAAATTTTAATTTTTGAAAAAAATGAAATGCGTTTCTTTTATTATTTGTCTTTTTTCTTTTTTGAAATTTTTGAGTTTATCTATTAAGTAATTTTAGAAGGGAAAAAATAAAAAATAAAAAAATAGTCTTAAAATTTTGTGCTTTTTAGAGCGTCCATAATTTTTAAATATATCAATTTTTTTTTTTTTTGTATTTTAATTTACGAAATTAATAAAAATATTGTAACTCAAAAATACTTTTTAAATTTTCAAATTTTTTTTAATAATACTATTCAACTAAAAAAAATTAATAAATATTTTTATCATTAATTTTAAACTTTAATATTTTGTTTCAAATACTCATTTAAATTGTTAAAAATATTTCAGAATTTTATAAAACTTCCTTTAAACACTTGAAAAATACTTTTAGTACCATATTTTGAAAATACTCCTGAACTTAAAAAAAAAAAATTACATTAATATTTTTAGAAAAAATAATTAAATTTTTTTAGAGATGATCTATGAGGTTTGAATAGACGGTTTCTACCATCTGATAGATGTTTTTTTTTTTTTTTTTCAGTTTAACTATTAAGTATTTTAGAAGGAAAAAAAATTAGCCTTTAAATTTTTTATGCTTTTTAAAGGGTCCATAATTTTAAAACTATCAAAGAAATTCTTGTATTTTAATTTTTGAAATTAATAAAAATATTTATAAACTTTTTTTGAAATTTTCAATAAATTCTTAAACTAAAAAAAAAAAAAAAATCTTACCCGTTTAGTTTTGGATGAAACCGTTAATATTTTGTTTTAAAAATAAATCTAAAACAATAATTTAAATGTGGTTGAAAGTTAAATAGTATTTTTAAACTATCTAGTTTGAAGTATTTTTGTTTAAAGTATAACAATTTTTATCCAAATGTATTTTTGAAAATTTTTAAAAATTTAAGGATAATATTGAAACTTTTAAAAGTTTAAAGAGTAATTTTGAGACAAAGTGAAGTTCAAAAACATTTTATTAATTTAGTCTTTTTAATATTATACTGATAAATATTCATGTCCAATATCTGTTCGTAATTTTTTTAAAATGTTAATACAAAGTTAAAAAATAAATAATTTACTTGATACACAATAAAGAACGTAAAAATTTATTAGATATAAATGCGAAAGTTTAGAAACCAAGCGAAGAAACCAAGCGAAATTGTTTAAAATTTATGGACTAATCGCCCAAAATTAAATATTCAAAAACAAAATATGTAATTTAATCAATAATAAAATATTTAATAACATGACAAATAAAAAAAAGTCATAATGTATTTCAATTAAATTATTGTCATGACCTTTAAAATTGTGAATGATATTTATTTTTTTGACATGGATATTACATTATTAATTTGATTTTAGGAAGAATTTTGATGATAAGGTCAATAAACTAATTAGGATATGATAATTTACTATAGTAAGAGTTATACACCTAACAACATTATTAGGTATTAAAAAGGTGTGCGTTCGTGAGCCCACGCTAAAGTTTCAATCAATTCTGCACCAGGAAATTAAGAACATAAATCCAGTAGCCCAAACAAGATGTTCAAATAAGAACATCCACGCCCATACAATAACTAAATTGTTACGAATTAAAAATATAAAGATTAAATAGTTACAAATAAAATTACAGACTACCTCTAAAAATTTCATAAATCAACCATCATTTTTAACAAATATATATATATATATATATATATATATATATATATAATAATAATAAAATATTAAAATACTAAAGACACAAGAATGCTATAAAACTTTAAAGTGGTTGGAATAATACATCATTTCAAGTCATTCTCATACAAAAATTACAGTAAAGAAACATGACTCTAAATATCAATACCTCACAAATTTTCCTAATTATTTGAGGACTTGAGATATCTATATTTTTAGGCATCTTCTTGCTGCCTTCAATCATTGTAATGGCACTATTCTTCTTTCTTCGTTGTGCAGTCCAAGTTTTTAAAGAAAAAAAAGGATGTAATTTCTAGGGGCGCGAGACAATTCCTTCAAATGAACTCGATAAAATAACCTCGTAACTTTGAGAAGAGTGCCTCCTCACAAAGGAGGTCATAGAGACCAGGCTCAAACAACTGTTTACCAAAAATACAGGTCTCCGCAAAGTCGTAAGTCCATGTATGGGAGTTGATGCTTGCCTAATCCAAGCGGAAAGCAAAATATCAGTAATCTATTTAACTGTAATATTTCTGATGGATTTCATCTGCCAATGTCAGGGAATTCGTCCATAGACTTGAGCTTCTCAAGGATCAAAATTTCTTGCTTTGCATCTAGTAAAGCATGGAATCAAGAACTCAACAACAGACGGTAGCTTTAAGCAAAGTGTACACAAAATGGCATGAAGCAAAACAATACCCTAATCTTACCACTTTTTATGTTAACCTAGAATGCAAGAAGTTAACAGAAGAAATGCCTCACTCCTAACATGATTCCTAAGCAACGTTCTGTTTTGAAAGACAATATAAGAACTAGTCCATTGAAAACTATAAGATAATTCCAAAAGATAGGTGCACTGTTTAACCACGAACTGAAGATAATATTCTATAATTTAGCTCCTATAACATTTTTCGTCCCAAGTTTTGCAAGGAAATAGTCCTATTCTAGCTTTATATATTTGAGTTAGGATGCATGACAAAGTAACAATTATAAATTTTAACTTGGGAAGGAAGGATACATTCCTCATCTGGGTTCTCGGTAAAATTGGAATGCAAGGCATTCCCAACACTATCCACTAAAGCTGAGGTCATCATGGATGATTCGATGCACAATATAGCTGTAATGGCATCGAGCCGAGTAACCTCATTTCTAAACATGAGCCGTGCATGTGCTGCAATGTCGATGGAGAGGAAGCTTTAGACAAGATGAGAATTTGTCAAGGAAACAGTGAAACATTAGAATTTGTCAAGAACAAACCTTGTGCTAAACGTATCAAACTTTCGAGCATGCGGACTGTTGTCCTGGCTGCATGATTAAGAATCTAGAATTAGAAGGATAATTAGAACAATCTCGTAAAAATAGACCATTTTCAAGTGAGACCTGCATTATCCATTGCTGATCTTCTTTGAAGCTGATAGTAGCTTGAAATAATTTGTTCAGCCTCCTTGGTCAGGACCGGTCTGAAGTATCCTTTTACAAATTGGAGGTATCTGCAGAATGTTTAAAATAGATATGTTAGCTTAAGCAATTCCTCCTTAAAGGTTAGATCACTGAAGATGGTCGTCAGGCTGTTCAGATCCAAACATTCAATTAGTGTAATGGTTTCGTGATTAAAGTTTTTAAATATTGTTTAATAAATTAAAACAGAAATCAATAGTCTAAATTCCCGTTTGACAGAATGCGCTGAAAGAAATTAGATAGAAGAGTTGAAATTAGATACAACCATTTTTACATTGTGTTTGTTATTTATGATGAAACTAATCATACAATCAGAAACACAACTGATAGATTAATGCCTTCAAAAAGGTAATACTAAACTGCATGTTTATAAATAGTTTTCCAGAAAGCGTATGAAAGTAAAACCCTAATCCTATAGACAGCTACCAAACGACACCACTCTGCATAGACTAAACATGTTCAGTATACTACTTGGCTGATTTGCAAAGGTGTGCCACGAGAACAATTGTGAAAATTGTGAAATCCCACATTGGTTGGAGAGGAGAACGAAACATTCCTTATATGGGTGTGGAAACCTCTTCCTAGCAGACGTGTTTAAAACCTTAAGGGAAGCCCGGAAGGGAAAGCCCAAAGAGAATAATATCAGCTAGCGGTGGGTTTGGACTGTTACAAATGGTATCAGAGCTAGTCACTGGATGGTGTGCCAGCAAGGATGTTGAGCCCCCCGAGTGGATTGTGAGATCCCACATTGGTTGGAGAAAGGAACGAAGCATTCCTTATAAAGGTGTGGAAACCTCTCCCTAGCAGACGTGTTTTAAAACCTCAAGGAGAAGCCTGGAAGGAAGAGCCCATAGAAGACAATATCTACTAGCGGTGGACATGGGCTGTTACAAAAATAGACAGAAATTGAAGCAGTCGGGTGCGAGAATAAGACTGATACTCCAGTTGAATGTTGAAGGCTTAGAGACTA